CTCCACCATATAATACTGTTTCATAGAGATTTTCTCCATTAGTCCTAACTTTTTGAGTAATTTACACTTTTAGTCCCTGAGTATAGCTTTTTTGCATTTGTGGCACCAAAAGGTTATTGTAACTTTTTTGGTCCCTGTTCCAAGAAAAATGACTATTTTTGGTCCCTAAGTAAGTTACTAGAATAGCTGGTTTAAGCAATTTTAGTTATTTTACTTGAAACAGGGACCAAAAAAGTTACTAAAACCACAAAATACGAAAGAAAACTTTCTGGGACCATAACTGAAAAAATCAGCTATACCCAGGGACCAAAAATGTAAATTTACTATATTTGCCCGTGGTTATTTTCTCAAATATTTTTTGAGACATTTTTAAATTGTTATTTTGCTTACGGGAACATGAATGATCCTGCTTTGTTCAGCACGAGATCTTTGGACAGCTTGTCTTATCCACCAATGAGCGTATGTTGAAAACTTGAACCCCTTTGAAGCATCGAATTTTTCTGCACTTTTCACGAGACCTCGGATTCCTTCCTGAAAAATAATTTTAAAAAGAAAAAAAAAACATCAAAATATGTAGTCAAGATAAAAAAAACATCAAAATATGTAGTCAAGATAAAAAACGAATCCCTGTCCCACCTTGTTTCACCTTGTTGCAATTTTTAGACATTCCACCTTTTAGCGTAGTCCCACCTTTTGGAGTGGGACAAAAACTTACACTGTCTGTCATGTCCTACCTTTTTGGGTGGGACAAAAACTTACAGTTTTAGTTTTAGTTTTTGTCCTTGCACAAGTCATAGTCTTACCTTTTTAGGTAGTTCCACCCATGGAGCTGCCTAAAAAGGTTGAACAAAAACTTACAATTTCTATCATTCGGCATGATAGAAACTATAAGTTTTTGTTCAACCTTTTTAGGTAGTTCCACCCCAAATGATAGAAAACTATAAGTTTTTGTTCAACCTTTTTAGGTAGTTCCACCCCAAAAGATGGAACTATCTAAACAGGTAAAACTATGACTTATGCAAGGACAAAACTGTAAGTTTCTATCATGCCGCATGATAGAAACTGTAAGTTTTTGTTCCACCTTTTTTGCATGGAACAAAAGCTTAACATTTTTTTAGCAGTTCCACCTTTTTGGGTGGGAAAAAAACTTAAGATTTTTTTAGCAGTTCCACCTTTTTGGGTGGGACAAAAACTAACAGTTTCTGTCATGTCGCTTTTAGTTCCACCTTTTTAGGTGGATAAATACTTACAGTTTCTTTTTGTATTGTCCTACCTTTTCGGGTGGGGCAACAAATATGTCCCTCACATCAGTCTCAATCCCAGTCTAATGCAGTACGACAAACATGGTTGAAAAATGTGATGCATACCTGAACAATATCTTGAAGATGGACCTTAGTTCCATAATAACTTCTTGCAACTGAAATAACAAGTCGTATATTACTTCTAATCATTTTGTCCCTACATTCTTCACCATGATGTAATCGTCTCCCTAACTGTATCTGATCAATCCCTGCTGCAGCTGCCCATTCTGCAAAAGTAGGTGGCACCCCAAATTGTGCTGCAAGTTGTTTATGGACTTCTTGCAATTTTAATAGATCCTGCATGATAAAAATAATGAACTTCCACAAAAAAAATAATAATAATAACCAAAAAACGAATGTTCTTCCAATGGTTTTAATTTTTTTTTCTTTTAAATAAATACCTGTATCCCTTTTGAAAGTTCTACTTCCTCATCAGCAGTCAAAAGCTTAGCATTAGTCATTCCACCCAAAAAAGCCAAAACGTCTTTTTTCTCACCGCGTCTCCGGCTAACACCAGGTTTAACCGCCACTGAACTGGGTCGACCGCGGTTGCGGGACCCGGATTTGACCGAAACGACCCCGGCTTCAGCCTTTTCGGTTGCTCTTAATCTCCTTGCTTTCCTTTCCACTTGCCTCTTTGATCTCACAGCTATGCTTGCAGATAGCTGTTCTTCTAGAAGCTCCAGTTCTTCGGGTGTGGGCCCCACTTCTTCTGAGAGTTGGGGCCCACACTCTGGTATTGAATGATTATCAGGGGTGTGATGAGGTGTCATCATTGCAGCTGCGGTTTTGGCGAGTTTTAGTGCAGCCTTGGCTAAAGCAATTGCTTCTGCTGCTGCTTCTGTGTATTCACTTGTTTTAAACTCTGAAGGCAAAGTTGTTCCCTATTTTTTTCAAAAAAAAAAATCAAATGAAAATTGATAAATAATAATGTAAAATTTTGTGCATTACAATTTCTTCAACAAAGCAATAGCAGATTCTGACCTGATTGACTTTACCAGTATAAGCCCATGGTCTACTCCCGCCAATTGAATTTGTATGAGGTTCTAAAGATGGTAGCTGGAAATTTTCAAGATCAAGCACTCCAGTTGTTGATGATGATGATGAGGATGATGATGATGATGATGATGATGATGATGATGATGACCAATGTCTATCAGTAGCAGCTGAATTTGAATGAACTTCTAAAGATGATAATTTTAGCTTCTCTAAATTAAGAACTGTAGATTCTGTTGATACAGGTGGCGCTGTAGTTGATAAAACACAACGTGTTGGGAAAAAAATAGGCTCTCTACATTTTGCTGCGTTATGAAACCGAGTTATAACAGTAAGAACAGAATCAATCATGAGTACAAATAAAGCAGCTAAATGCAAGAAATAGCAACTCAATTTATTATAACAGTGAAAATTGTTTTGCATTTGGAATTTTGAATGGCATTTATATAATTAGGTGGTTTTTCAAAGTATAATGTCCTAATAGGAAGAAATGAATGTAGGATACTATAATAAACAAAATCAATCATTAGTATGATAAATCACGAAGCACTAGCAATATTTTGGGTGTGCTAAAAGTTTGAACCCTATACCTACTTTATAGAATTTCACACCTTGGGCAATCATATTTGAAACTAGGTAAAAGAGGCCCTAAATTCCAATATATTTAGAAATCAGAGCACTTTTTGCAGCATACCTCATCTTCTTTCTGGTTGAGAAGAGAACTTATAACTAAATATAAGTGAGACAAATCAAAAAGTATTTTGCTATTTTATGATGTTGTCTAACTAAAACCGGCTAGAAAATGTTCCATAAGCTTCAAATTCTACAAGAAAACATTTTGCAAAAAGGAGGCGACAAAACTGACTATAACTTAACCTTGGGGATCCTATCTCAAAAGTAAACAGAAGATAACCGACTGAACTCAATTCAGAAACAAAACACTAAAACTAACAGAAACTAAAAATGAAATTGCACTTGTAAATTTCTCTCCCGTGAATAGAAACATGAAAAATGCTACAATGTTGAATCGATAAGCTTAAAAACACAAATTTCAGGCACAAACTCAGTAATGAAAAAACAAAAACACTTCGGAAATTGAAATATAGATAACGAAGAACATGTGTAAGCTTACGGAGGTTCGGAGAATGATGATTGTGAGTTTTGAATTGGATGGTAAAAGAATCTGGTATGCACTTGAATTGGGGAAGCAAACAGGACATATTTTCAGCTACAGGTGATATAGATGCAAACATGTAATGATCATATACATGAAAATCCGATTTAAGCATTCATCTGAGGAATAAATTTTGGGTTGAAGAGTGGAAATAGGAGGTGATAAGTGAATGAAGAAGACGAAAGTGAGAGATGAGATTGTGGAGAATGAGGATAAGGGGTCATCAGACTGCGGACGAGAGAGAGACAGCATCCATTAAACAAAAATCGGTTAAAACTTAAAACTTACGTTTGGGCTCTTTAGCTTTGTAAGGCCCACGGCCCACCTTTAATTTTTAAATTTCTATACAAGGCCCACCTTTGATATTTCGAGTTTTGACTAAAAATTATACATATTCCATTGGTTTTGACTTTTGACAACAAAATATTTTTTTTATTAAATATTTAAATATATCAATTATTTATAAATTATAACTAACATATCATAAGCTAATAATAGAAACATTTGAAAGTCAACTGGTTTACAAAGATATTGTAAAAAAGAAAATTAGGGTTTTGAAAACTTTTTTTAACTAAATGATTAAAAGCATAATAAAAGATTAAAAGGAATCAACAAATGGAATAGATGAATTTAAAACCATGTTTCAACGGATTAAAAAGATTATTATTAGTAATATATACATTTTGCTCATAAAATAAGGAAAATCTCTCAAAAAAAATTATATATTGTGGTAAGCTATGACATAATAATATAAAAAATAGTTATTTAGAAAAATTAAAGATATCCTATGTGATATTAATTAGTCAAATGGTTTTAAATAGATAAGTAGTCAGTAAATATCATATAACAATTTTTTTTTTAATATTTTCTCGTAAAATAATTACATACTTCATTTAAAAATTACTTTGTTTGTATAGAAGTATAGAACTATAAGCTAAAAAATGTACACACCTTCCAACCGAAATATATTAGTAAAAAAAATAAATATATTTTTAGATTTTTTTTATCCATCTTCCTATTTATATTAAATAATGACATGTGGAATCCATTAATTATCTTTCTTAATTTTTTTGACACTTGTTTTAATCTAATTAGTAGAAATATGGGCAAAGAGCAAAAAATAAAAATATATTTGATTTCTCATTAGTAAATGAAACATTTAATATAGCAAATCACCAATTTTTATCATTCTTATATCATGTACATATGTTGAGATTTTTATATGTTGATAAGTTTGTCGCTGTATAAAAAATAAATTATAAAAATTGTCTAATTAATTGATGAAAAAGGTCTATATGTCATTTTTTTATAGAAACGGTCTATATATTTAAAAATTTATAAAAATGATATTTGTCTAATACAAAAATATACAAATTAGGTACTTAAGTTTTCTTTAAAATTGAAACGTTTTAATATAACAATAATATTTATAAATATGTTAAAAGAGCATTTTATTTGAAAAAAAAAAAAAAAAAAACTTCCAAAGCCTTTATAATGCTTAACTACATGCCCATAGAAATGTAGCAAACCTTCTAAACCCCTGCCCTGGTTATCTAGCCTTTTAACAATGGCTCACACCAGACTTAAAATTCCAATTCTCTCAACTATCACTACAACTGCTATTAAATTCTCGAAATCATCATTGCTTCATGGTTATCGCCGCCATATCTGCCACTGTTCATCACCCGTATCTATTTCTCAAAATCAACAACGACAACCGCAAATCAGGAGCCCTCAACTCGTCGCATTGGAGTATGCTGATCTTAGCATTCCGCATATTGTGTGTGAGGTATTATAAAAATCATATATATACAACAGATGAACTATATTTTGTGTAATGTTATTCCTGACCTAGCTAGTTTCCTCACGATGTTATCTTATATGGCTTTCAATGTTCGACGCTTGCTTTTCAATTTCGTAAATGGAGTCACTTTGAAATTCCATTAGAAATTGGTAACTTAGGTTTACTCTGTCACAAAGATCTGTGTTGATTTAAATTGGATGCAAAATCCTGATGAAGTTTGCATTTGAAAATAGGCTAAATGCTACTTTCATTTATTTGTTTATTATAGCTTCTTATTTTCATTTTTTTTTTGTTGATTATCAGGAGTTAGGTGCTACTAGGGTGAGGCAACATGTTAATCCTCTTAGCTCTACTTTATCAGTATACACTTTCTCTCACTCAATTTTGATTAAAATTTATATTTCTAAGCTCTTTCTCATACATGCTTTGAGCTTTCTTTATATTTTGATAGATTCCTGTTGAAGTGCCAAACTGGAATGATGTATTTGAAGACCCAAAGTTGCCTCTAGTTGTTGATGTAGGAAGTGGTAATGAATATATCTTATTCTTTATGCATATGTTGATGAATGTCATAAAATCAATTGTTTTTTTTTATTCTGATTATTCCAACAATTTAAATAATTCAGGTAGTGGCAGATTTCTCATGTGGCTTGCTAAGAGAAATCATGGTTCCAAGAACTATATGGGCCTTGAGATACGAAAAAAGGTATATTAACTGATTTTGATTTTTTTTTCATATACATAATTTTTAAGGGGTATTTCTGGGAATTGAGTACTACATTAGTATTTGTAATAATAATTTTTTTTTCACTTTCTAGTTGGTTACACGTGCTGAAAAATGGGCGGAAGAGCTGTCTCTTAGTAATATGTAAGTTTTTATTAATTTTCCAAATTTCCAAAAAAAAAAAAAAAAAAAAACTATAGGGCTAAATGCAATATATGGTAATGTAATTTCATTGGTTTATTTATTATAGCATCTTACTCATTTATAGCAATGTCATCACAATACAAAGCATATATATTAATAATATTATATTATGATATTATTATTGTAATTATTTTTGCAGACATTTTGTGTTTGCAAATGCCACAATATCCTTCAAGGAGCTCATTTCCACATATCCTGGGCCTTTGATGTTTGTTTCAATATTGGTGAGTGCATGTGCATCCCTATTTCTAAACTCTATGTAATTCTATGTAATATATTTATTTCTTTCAAATCTATTCATCAATTTTTGAGCTTTGAAAATTTAATTCAGTGTCCAGATCCTCATTTTAAGAAAAGACACCACAAAAGAAGGATTGTGCAGAAGCCTCTTGTGGAAGCAATTACCGATAGTTTAATGCCTGGAGGACAGGTAATGACTTCTCTTTGGTTTTTCAATTCCCACCGGAATTGGAATCCATGATTCCATTCCGTCCTGTGTTGGATTATGGAATTGGAATTCGTGATTCCATTCCTTCGTGTGTTGATGGAATTCAATTCCATGCCTGACACACTTTTGTCCGATCCAAAAAGGTGGGATAGGGACATGGACTCGCTTGAAATCTCTCTTCTCTCTCTCTCTTTTGTTGAAAAGACGTAAATGCCCTTCTCTTTTGTACTGTAAAACAGGTGTTTATACAGTCGGATGTGCTTGAAGTTGCAGTTGACATGCGGAATTATTTTGATGCTGAGTCAGCAAAGCTCATGTTTGAATCGGATTTGGCTTGTGACAATGAAGGATGGTTGTTAAGCAATCCAATGGGGATTCGAACTGAAAGAGAGATTCATGCAGAATTTGAAGGTGCAAAGATTTATAGAAGAATTTATCGAAAACTATCATAGTTTTTTTTACAAATGGAAATATCAATATGTGTTATTTGCAGAATGATAGATAAATTAGATAAAAAGTTGTACCATTGATGTATGTTTTTATTGATTGAGTTAAAGGTTTCTAAGGTAGCAATGTAGTTTCATTTATTTGTGTTATTATTTATTCAAGAACCATGGACAATGATTTGGACCATTTGATTAAAAAAATCAATTGTTAAAACTGAAAAATGGATATGAAACATTAATAGATGGTTATAAAAGTCATGACCCCTTAGCTATCACAATCATATGATGAATTTCATTAGTGACATAGATTGTGTTAGTTTTCTTAAATAATTTGGTTCAGTTTTTAAACCGACCCATTAACAAATATGTGAAAATGTCTGTTTAAAATAGAATATCTTAGGCTAAATGCTTATATATGTAATTACGTTTTATTTTATGAAAAGTGAATTTGAAATGCAAAAGAAAATGTTGCATTTATGCATTTCTTTTAAGTAATATATCATAAAAGGAATATATAGCTCGAACTATAACATATGTGAAAGATCGTATTACATCGTATAAAAAAATACAAAATATAAATTACATAAACGAACATTTTTTTAAAACGCGTTTTCATACACTTGCTTTTTGTATATATACACGTACATGCATCCTCTCAACTTGTCAAGAAGTCTGCGTTTGATCATTTCAACACAACACCTACACCCGCCAGAAGATTATCACGATTGGTGAGCATCTCATCTCTATCTGAATTCTTCTAATTGAACTTCAATTCACCATTGCGATCTTCAGAAATTGGAACTCAAATTCCAATAGCTTTGATTTTTGTTTAATAATCTCTCTGTTTTCTGTTGAAATGGATACGATTAAATATCTAAATTCATCTATCTAGATCGTTACATGTATAGATTCAGGAAACTCCTGGTTTAGAAGTTCTTTGATTTTACTTTTAGTAATGCTATATGTGTTTTCATGAATCACGCATGCCGCTGTTAATTGACAAATTGTTGTAATGGATCATAAGGTTTACTTTCAGATTTGTATCTCGGTTTGTAAACCCTAATTGAATCCTTATTATCCAAATCGGAATCTAACTGTTGATCATGTTCAATTGGTTGAAATTTTCTCATTTCCTTTCAACGGTTAACGTTTTCAAGCTTTGATTGATGAGTTGGCTTTCTTCTTAGTAATTGCTGGAGTTGAATTCATCCAGAGACTCTGTAACACCAAATCTATGAAATAATCCATTGTCTTTGATTTACATTGCAGTTTTCGTGAATACAATACCAAATTGAAAGAAAATGGGTGGTGGAGATGGGCAACAAAACGAACATGACAAAGGGCTATTAAGCAATCTTGCTGGATATGCTACCGGAGCTGGGCACTATCCTCCTCAACAGGGTGGGCACTATCCTCCTCAACAGGGTGGCGGATACCCTCCACAAGGAGCATACCCGCCGGCTGGTGGTGGCTACCCTCCGGCAGCATATCCTCCTGCTGGTGGTGGTTATCCTCCACAGGGTTATCCTCCTGCTGGTGGTGCTTATCCACCACAACAGGGTTATCCCCCAGCTGGCTACCCTGGTCAATCGGGTTCACACAGTTCTCACAGTTCAGGAGGTTAGTTGTTATTGTTTAATTTGTTATTGTCAACATTAATATCACAAATAGTTCACTGCAATTGAGTTTCACGCTTTTGTTTCTTGATTTTTATATTGTTGCGAATCAATACTTTTATGTATAAAAAACAACCATCTTTTTTCTTAAATCATAAAAGTGATAAGTGATTTGTTCGGTTTATCTAATTTAAACAATAAGCTGTATTATAGCATTATACTTCCAATTATTTTCAAGATAATATTACATTTTCAGTTGTTTTTTATTAATACATTATACTTTAAAAAAATTTGTTTATACTTTCAACTTTTTTTTTCTTTATTATAGAATGAGATTGCTATAATTGTGTGTTTTTTAAAGTAAAAATACATTGCTATTTCTTGCACTCAAACACTTTTTTATAATTTTATTTATTTCGATGATTAAAGTATATAATTTGTAAACTTATAATAAAAAGAAGACAAATGATGAAATTTTTGTAATTTTCAACTTTTCCCAAACTTAATGGGCCTGTCTTGTGGGCCTTTAGTTATATGTCATTTTAGGTAGTAAAAGACACAAATATTTATCTTTTTGGTTCTAATTTCTTTTGCTTAAACCAAAAAATGATATCATGTGAAATTTTGTTAATTTAGGACATGGACCAGGAATGGGAACGGTATTAGCTGGGGGTGCAGCTGCTGCAGCTGCAACATATGGAGTTCACCATTTGACCTCTCAAAGTCATGGTGGCGGCCATGGTGGCCACAGTATGCCCCAAGGAGCCCATAACATGATGGGCTCCATGGGACACATGGGTGGTGGTGGTCAGTATAAGCAGGGTGGCAAACATGGCAAACATAGTGGTGGTAAGTTCAAGCAAGGGAAACATGGCAAAGGCGGGAAACACGGGAAGTTTGGTAAGCATGGAAAGGGCGGGAAGAAATGGAAGTAATTTTCATCTACGCTTCCTAAATTTGGATTCTTCATTTGGCTTGGATGACCCGAATATAAAGGTTTCATTATGTTACGAAACTATTTGTATGTGTAAAAGTTGGTTTTATTTGGTAAACTATGTATGAATGTTTATTTTAACTTATTGCAGAAATAACAACTTAATAAATAAAAAAATATAGAAACTGACTTTCCAATGAAGTTTTAATTCTTTTTTTTTTTTACAAAATTTCATCATTATTTTTCCTTTAACTTTCCCAAATTTGCCCTAATGTTCAAGATTTTTTTAAAAACCATTTATCCAGAAATGTTATATGGACAAATGTAGGAATATCCATTTATACTAAATTATAATTGTTTTTAGAATTGTTTGTATAGTAGTGAGTATGGAAGCTATGTAGGAAATATTTGCTTACATCATGATGTTTGTTCCATAATAAAGAGGCATATTCCTCTCCAACACACATAAAGTTGAAATGTGTTGTGAATAAGTACTCTTCTTTTATGTTGTTAAGCTATGTTGAGTTTCATTACATTTAATAATATATCATTCCTTCTTTTATGGAAATTTGATTTTTTATATTATTACTTTTTTAAAATCTAAGTAGTAATATGAAATATGGAAAACTAGGCCAAGAAATACAATAGCGGAATTACATTAGACTTGATTATTTTGGGTGTTACAAATTTTACACAACCAAATGAACAATAATAAGATAATGGTAATCTTAGATAATTATATTGTTATTTTCCATGTCCATGAATGTAATCAAAATATATATTTAATTTTACACACCATAATGTTCAACACATGTTCCAAATATATATATTTAATGGATCCCTTTCGATGCCATGAATGTAATCAAAAGACCCTTTTTCACGAATCCAAACTATGTAGGAAAGCATATCTCCCACCGAATTCCAAAAAGATTGACAAAACCCATAATACATTAAGTAAATAAGAGAACATATTAAAAATTAAATTACATAATACTATTAATGTTGGATTTTCTAAGCATCAAATACACGACTCTTAATGTTGGATTTTTTAAGCATCAAATACACATTTAACTAGGTAGCGGAAACAATTAAAAATCAACCAAAGTGTACACGCACCCTAAGATCTAGGTTTTATTAGTTTAAACAACGTACTTTAAAATCAAACTAAAAGAATGATATATTACATACCTCTTGATCTCTTGATTGAGACTTTATGATTGACAACTTTTGCAATGGATGAAGGACTTAAATGAGAATCTTTCTAATGTAGTCAGACCCAAGACTCCATGAAGCAACACCAAGGAAACCCTAATGACTGATATTGCGAAAATCAATAACCCTTGGAGAGGAGTTATATTATCATCAATATGGAGCGAGAGGGGAATGAAATTAGAGAGAAAAAATCATCTAGGGTTTGATCCCTAACATCCTATTTATATGCATCATCAAGAATCCTTAAGTTGATCAATTCCCTAAGAATAATCCATATCCTTATCAAAATTTGCCTTATCCCTATCCAATGGATATCAAAATCGTCCCATACATATCTAGGAGGTTCTTGAATATTTCAAATAATCTCTAAGAATTAATTAATATTCAAGCTCTTTAATTAATTAAAAAAATTTAATTAATTACAAAAATAATTTCCAATTAATTTATTATTACTTAATATAACAACTTATTTTTTCTCCAAGAATTATTGCTAATTGTGTTATGAGGCCAACCCAAAATGACCCTGTTATTAATTATTATTTAAAAATATTACCAACTAATTAATGACATTGGACACTATTTCCAACAGTTACCAATATCAAACATCATGTATGCAAAGCATATTATTTAAACCCATAAAACAACATTTGCATAGATTCCATTTTTTTAACATGTATCTAGAATCACTTTACATCTACCAATATAAGTTTGAAACCTAGATGAGCGTCAACTACAAATCATATCAATATCCACAAAACTTGTTGTAATATGGAGAAATCTTAAGACCACATAAATTCATAAAGTAGAACACAAGAATTTGAATGGAAACACAAATGAGTAAACCACAAAGGAAATATTATTGATTTCAATGGAAACAAGGAGTTACAAGTTTCTTTCTTGGTTAAAGAAATCGGTGATGAGAAGTTAGAATGAATGATTGATAAAAAAAACTCAGATCTGAGGCCATAAATGTAGGCATACAAACTCGAGTCCTAAAAACACTCCAAAACTGCCATGCAACATAAATGAAAAAGGTTGCATAAAATAGGAAACTTGACAATAGATGCAACACCTAGTAGTGCAACACTTTAGGATAGGATGTACAAAAAGCACTTCCCATTCACATTAGGGTTTCATAGCATCCTTCAACTAACTTTGCATTGGGACAAACCAATCTTGAGCAAGAAAACCTTCATCCTTTATAATAACTCGATACTAATCTTTAGGAAAAGGTTGAAATACTTTAGGAAATGTTGCATAAAAATAGTTCCCATGCACATTAGGGGTTCAGAGCATCCTTCAACTAACTCTACATTAGGGTTAAAGCAATCTTTAACAAACAACCATCCATCCTTCATAATAATTTGAGAAACATAGAGTGCCGAAAGTCTATAACACTTAAAGTTGAATACCAACCAAACTTGAACAAAGTTCAAATTTGGTAGTCAGAATCAACTTTGTCATAATATCGACAAGATTATCATTGGTATCAATCATGCTCACCTTGATACTACTTTAGACAATCACATATTTAATGTAATGGTGTCGCATGTCAATAGGCTTAGTTTTCTTACGAAACATTGAATCCTTTGTAAGGAACACAACATTGTTGCAATAAATTATAATGCATGATAAATCACCACATAACTTAAAACACAACCCTCTAATCCATGTAGTTTATTTACATGGTTCCAAAATAGCGATGTATTTAGCTTATAACAAACAAATAAACAATAGATTGTAAAGTAGATTTCCAACTCACAAAACATAATCACTAATATTAAAGACATAACATGTGAGTGATCTTTCTTTTTCAAGAGAGATAGCATAAAGAGAATCAACATACCCAACTAACCACGAAGTTGATTTCAAAAATTCCAAAATGTCTTAGAATTATCTTTAATGTACTGAAAGATCCATTAAATGACTTTCTAATGTTCCTTTCTTCGGTTAGCTATAAAATGAGTTACACACTAAGCATATGATAAATTTAGCCAAGAGCAAACCATTACATACATTAATGATCAAATTATACCTTACTACGGAACCTTAGACATTTGATTAATTTCCTTATTTGATCGAGGAGAAAGTTCGGAAGATAACTAGAAATATCCAACAATTGGTGTATTTAATGGTTTGACATTTTTCATGTTGAACATGTGTAAGATTTTGTTGGTTTAGCTACATTAGTTTTAATATAACCTGCACATGGATTGATTTCTTGAAATCTTCATATCACGAATTTTCTTTGCGTCACATAAGCCTTTCATCTCGAACTCCTAGTAAAGTTAAGTTTTTAGTTGGGGGATGGCGGTTTGTTTTCTTTTAACGCATCTTTGGCAATAATATTAAGAATACGAGTCATGCAACTTAGTTTATATACACACTTGACAACTTTTTGATCGAAAAACTCAATTTCCTCATCATTTCAAGATGCATAGTTAACCGTCATACTCATCACATTCTTAATCCCCCAATTGCATATGCAATCTAATACCTCACACACCACACCCCCCTATGAATATCAATGGATCTTAAACTAATAATTATTTTGTGCATAACCCAGTCATCATCTATAAGATGTGTCGTGACATCCATACAGTTGATCCTTAAGTTTTTCTAAATGTTCGTAGTCAAATGTAACGTATACGTTGGACTACTTAAGTGATCAACCGATTTATTTATTTATTCGATGTAGTAATTTGTAATATCCTTACTAACTTTGGTTCATGATGGAAAACGAACCTTCCATTTTAGTGCACTAGTATACCCCATAAAAGTATCTATAACAAACAAATTTAATAAAAAAAAATTTATATTTTTTTTCATCATGCTTGCATGTAATACACTTCCCTCCCCCATTAACATCTTTCCTTAATTGCAATGCACTTTGTTTTTTCATATCAGTTTATGGATTTTTTTTAATTAGGAAAATGTTTTTCAAGTTAGACATACCATTCTTCTATATATCATCTTTAAGCGTCATGGAGAAATGGATAAAAACTTGTATTTTCCATTCATCCATTCAACTCCATCCTTGTATGTAGACCACGTCAAAGTACTTCCAACTATCCGAAATCTTATTCCCTTAATTGGGTTTTTGTTATCGTTTATTCATTTGTTCCACATTGTCTTATTTTTGTGTATTCTCAAAAATGATATCACCATCCTAAACATAAAAGTCATAAACAATATAGCATTACAACTACATTTAATCAAACAATACAATTCCAGTCATCATCCTAAGAGTAAACACAAGTAATTTATACTAAAGAATTATAAAATAACATGAATGATAGGAAACAATTAGAACACTTACTTGAGTATCCTCCATTGAGGGAACCCAATTTCTATTAATACACAAGAATGAGTGAAGTAACTTGATTATTTATACAAGTTTTGGTTGATTTTTGAGAGCCATCGATTTTTGGGGTTAAGGAGGGCAGAACATCTATCGACAGTAAGTTGGGGGAGTAGCGACTTTCTAATTTGAATTGTAATTAGAGGATTATTTTATGGGGTTTAAGTGATGACCTTTCACATCTGGATTCAGTGCTGGATCGAAACCGCAAGTACCAATAACCGATGAGGGCATTTTAAGGGAACCAATCGTCGAACTGCTGGTGTGTATATGGTCTGATTCGATTCAGTAAAACGGTCTATTAGCTCATCCCTAATCTGCACCTCTTTTGTCTTGGTTAGAGCTCTTAAGGGAGTTGTATGAATCATCTGTTAATAATGAAAAGTCTAAGCTTATGGAAGCTTTATGCTACTTATTATTGTGGATCATTTGGAAAAAGAGGAATTCCATTGTCTGTCTTTAACAAGGTGAGATCCTATATTTCGAAATTGGTGACTTGCAACTTACATCATATATTAGATAAAACATTAGGCCAAAATGTTTAGTTTGAACATTTATAGAATGGTGCAACTCTCGTATTTCATATTGTATTTAGTAGTTGTGTACTTCTTGGGAAAGAGGCCCCAGACTCACTAAAATTATAGTAATAGTAGTAGTTGTGTATTTCTACCATCTTGCAAGATCATTTTCTTAATAAAACCTTCTTCTATTAAAAAAATAATGTTTGTGGGGCCAATTTTTTTCAAATATTTATTTAACTTTAAAACAAATTAATAAAAGTTATAAATAAAACACAAATTAATACTTCATAAACCTTTATAGGGATTAATATTTTCTATAGCTTAGGAGTGTTTGAGATTGTTTATTTGAAGTGTTTACTGACTTATTGCAGGTTGCCATCGGTAATAAGGAGTTTAATGTATTTGAAGCATTTATTGATTTAAATAAAAAGTTTTTTTATAAGTTAGCTCTTCGTAACTTATTAACTTATTTAAGGAGTTTTCAATAAGTTATTTCTTTATTACATGTATAAGCACAATTTGTCAAACATTAAAAAATAATTTATCAACTTATTACATTTTGATACCAAAAAATAATCTAAATTTTTTTACATTCCTTTTTAATATCTTAGAAACTAATAGTTTTTAAATAAAAAATCTTAAGCACCCATTAATAATGGTAGTCGACAAAATTTGATAATATTGACATCGTTATCTAAAGTTCTATACATAGCAAATCAAAACGTAAATACATAATGCCATATATAATCAAAAAAATTTCGGGAACATCATCCAGTTCGGTTCTAAAAATAATTTGGAAAGTTATAAATCCGGATAATTGTTAAACATATGCATTAAATTCTCAAAATCTTATACATTGAATAAGGATATTAATGATGACTAAAAAATATTTAAGTATTAGATAGTATTAGTTATTAGGGGAGTGTTTGACAAGCTTGTAACTGGTTACCTGACAGTTTGTAGGTGGAAGTTGTAGTTTTTATTTATGCGAAATGTTTAGCAAAAGTAGGTGTTAGTTTTTAAATATATAAAATTAGTTAAAAAACTTAAAGCTAAAAGCTCACAAAAACTAAAAGTACTTGTTGCCAGAACCCTTTTATTGGAGTGTTTTTTTAAAAAAAAAAAAAAAAAAAAAAAAAAGCTAAAAGTTTCATATCAAACACATCATAGTTTTCATATTAATGATTTTCATAGCTTCCATATAAAGTCTTAGTATACTATTGGATTATCTTTTGTGCTCTATAAATACCCATTATGATTAATGAGAAAAAGGAAACCATTTTTTTGAACAACCATCTTATTAAAAAACCACAATCTAGCAAAAAGCAGACTAAAATAAATTACAACGAGACTTTAAGCCAATCAACCTAATGAACATTACATTTGGGGTTGCGCCTATTATACCAATTAAAGGAGCACATAACTATACTATGGACTAGACCGTTTTTTGCATGCTTTCTGGCTCGATCCATAACATCCAACACCAAGTGATCCATACTACTTTTAGCCTTCTTGTCCACCACCGTGCTAGCCGACAATTATCAACACAAGAAAGTCATTCTGAAAAGAATCAAACTTGGGGAACAACTATCACACATCACATAACTATCGTTATCCACACCTCAGAACAAACAACATACAGAAAAAGAGTATGCGTAGTAGACTCCACCCCCGTACCACAAACATGACACACGATGTAATCCAACTTTGAGGCTATGACGTACTAGCTGAAAAGCTAGCTGAAAGCTATAATTGAAAAATTAGCTGCTAGCTGAAAGTTAGCGGATAAAAAATAATGTTTGGTAAAAACTATTTGATAAACTAGATGGAAGATGTAATGACATAAAAAAACATTTAAGATAATGAGTTTCCTATAATTAATTAAGGGTATGTTTGGAATATTTCAAAAAAACTCCTGAAAATCTAGTCTAACTAGTTTTTTTTTTTTTTTTTTTTTTTAAACTACCTTATAGCTAGTTGTTGGCTTACTAAGCAAGACAGTTAAAAAAATGTCAAAAAAAAGAAAAAAAAACTAGCTGAAACAAGACAGTTTAAAAAAGGTCAAAAAAAAAAAAAAAACTAGCTGACACCAAACACGATCTAAACCTCTTATAGACAAGTTAATATCTTTCATGGTATCACAACATTTGGTTCAAAAAATTGTGCTGCCACCGACCACCACCTCCGATTACCTTCTATAATCCTTGCAATCGTTGGAGGTGCCTTATCTAGTTGGTGCAACCTTACTTTCCACATTGAAATGTATTTATTCTCACATCACGAAACTCATCTTATTGCCTTTTATTTTGTAAATATCCTTTCTAAAACAAAAATTGTTGCCAAACTCATATCCTTCCGAGAAAAGTCAAGTCAGGCACATTCTTTTTTCTAGAGTCAATCTTCTAGAATCCATAACCTAGAGAAAACAAGAAATTAAGTTTAACCAGTTACACATTCTTAATAGAAAGTCAACAACAACTCTCTCTCTCTCTCTCTCACTCTCTCTCATGCTATTTGAAAATACCGCCTAATCATACCCTCCTCTATTTCTTAAGCAATTTCTTTTTTCTGTCTAACACTACAAAAATCGTCATAATAAGACTTCTTTCTACCATAAAGATCATCATAATATGATAATCTTGGACTCCACATATATCTTACGTGATATCATAGCCGACATTCGTATCTTAGTGGCTTAACACATCATTGTCTGACCTCATCAAACTTTTTGTCTCCGAGGGGGTGTGTAAGTATATCTCATATCGGTGTGACACGGCCCTTATGTCTTTATATATGATGGAGTATTCCATCTCTCCATAAGAGCTTTTTGGAGAGAAATTAATGGATTCCAAATAAATATCTTATATTAGGGCTTCTAATAATATATTCATATTTTATAAAAACAATAATTACCATAAGTTACAGAATAATTACCGATGGTGTTCTCCCTCTTTGAGGTCGAGGGTTCAAGTCCCGTCGTGGACATAGGTGGAATTAGGTGTTAGTTTAGAAGTAGATTCTATATTTGTATTTGCCCGGTTCAAAAAAAAAAAAAAGAATAATTAACGATCAAGACTAATTTAATAAAAAAAACGTGATCTTTGGTATTTGTTATATTTTATTTGTGATACTGGCCCATAGCTTAATCAACAAAATTCGGTTTCTTTTAAAGTTATGGGCTTTGGCCCCCTTATGTATGAGACAGTATTATCCCGACTTGTTTTCTATGTCACTATGATAGTATGATACGTTTTATAGTCCTCTTGTATTCTATTTTTTCTTTTGCTTTCGTGATTTAAAACTACAACAATTATTAATAATTAAATTAATTGTACGTAAAAACTGTAAAATAGTTGAATATATTACAGACGGGTTCTAGTCGTAGACCATAAATGTGAAGAGAATAAACATCATTGTTTATATATAAGTGATGAGATATATTCACCACATGTTTTGTTCTCCATCTATATATATATTAGGAAACTAAGCAACGCGTGAATCAGATTCCCGCTTTCCTATATAACAATTTGCCCTTCTCTATATCTCTTGCAAGTTGTATCATAGCTTTAGAACCTACAAAATTGAAATCATAAGACACTCAATTTCGTTAGGTATCAAATCTCTCATTTTTATATGTATTTTGCATGTTAATCATACTGTCATGATATATGTTTTTGTTAATTATGCTAAAAGACCCAACCCCTTAGTTACAATTATCATATGGTTTTCCTTTATCTGGTTTAGATGCATGTGTGTTTCTTTAAGTGGTAAGTTTTGAATTTCTTTTTGTATATCTTCTCTTATATATGTTCTTGTCCATTCCAGTTTTTGTCAAAGTAGTATCAAGGTGAAAAAGATGGATGGGTACAACAAACATAACGGAGAGAAAGGACTCTTCCCTATTCTTGGTGGATATGGTAGTGGTGGTGGACACTATCCCCCACAACATACAACATACCCTCCTCAAGGGTATGGTTATCCTCCTGGGGAATACCCTCAAGCCGGTTATCCCCCATATGGTGGATATCCATCACACGGTGCTGGTGGATATCCGTCACATGGATATCCTGGTTCATCAGCTCCCTATCATTCAGGTTAGTTCCCATAGAACATTTTTGCTTATTCTTGGCACCATGAATTGAATTGATAAGAAGGCGAGAATATAGGTCATGTGCAATAGAAAATATGGTCTTTCTTTCTTGGAAATTTTTACTTGAAAATTGAAAGTGTAAGTTGTCCTCATGAGAACTCCTCAACAGGGCATGGTGGTCATGGAGGGCATGGTATGGGATTCCTAGCTGGTGGTGCAGCACTTGGGGCTGCTGCATATGGCGCGCATCATGTGTCACATGGATATGGTTCCCATGGTTATGGAGCTCATGGCTATGGTGGCTATGGACAGCACCATGGTAAGTTCAAGCACGGGAAGTTTGGTAAGCATGGGAAGTTTGGCAAGCATGGAGGGAAGTACGGAAAGAAGTGGAAATGAGTTTATTATGTTTATACCCTCTTTGCTCTAATACGGTTGTCCATTTTGTTCGAATCAAATTAATGTTGTTAGTTGTAGTAAGTGGTTTATTTATGCTATAAGTTGGCTTGTAACTAAAACTCTTTAAAAAATCGTTGTTTATTTGGTAATAAAAACGAAATCAGAGGGCAAATTTTAGTATTTCATAAAAATCTTTCTTAGCCTGTTTATAGTGATATCATTTGATATATCACCAGTGTAACTCTCAATAAACAATGTTTCCTAGCTATTTTTACTATGGCACTAAAGTAACCCATGCCACACTCCTCAAACTGTCCGAGTGGATCTTTAGAACAAGTTATAGTAATTTGATATAATAATTCTTTATCTTTCTAGACTTTTTGATTGATTATCAGGTTTTCAGATGATTTGCCTTTTAAATCGAGATCACTTACCAATGTGAACATTATAATATATAATATTTATATATTAACAAATATGATAATTGTGCCCCAAACATCGTTTTTTTTATTATTAATTTTTTTTAAGTATATTTTTTAATTTCTTTTTTATTGGATTATTATTTTTTTATCGAATTATTATATATTAATAAATATAATTTATAATATATAATATTTATATATTAATAAATATGACTTTATTGGATTATTAATTTCTTTTAGTTAATTTTTTATTTCATTTTTATTGGATTAATTAGTTTATTTTTTTGGACAACACCACCACCATCCTAATTTATTTAAAAAAAAGCTCTTCCATCCCACCACTATCAGACATAAATCGGGTCAAAAATCACACGTTGAGTTATAAAAAAAACTAAAATATCCAGAAAGAATAACAATGTAATATTAACTTGAAAAACAACAAACTAAAAGCAATCAAAATCGACATTCTGTTGAGATTTTAATTGATTTGTGTTTAATTACTTTGTATGACAATTTGTATTTAGATTTTTAAATGATTATTATGTAATTTTGATTTTATATGACAGTTTGTATGTTTTTATAATTGGGAAAATGACACATACGACCTATGAACTTTCTAGGGTTTACCCTTTTAGTCACTTAACCTTTTTAGTGGCTTTATGAAGGAACAAATTTTATTTTGTCGAGTCAATTACGTCATTATGTCAATTGTGAAGGGTCAACCGGTCATATTTATGCCACCTGTGTTGCTTAAACCCCCTTGGCTTGCTGACTGTGTATGCCATGTCGTTTATTAATAGCTTTACTTAAACGAGATATTTTCCCGTCTACTGTTCACCACTTCCATCTCTTTCGATAAACCCTTACTTTCTTTCGTCTCCTCAAACCTCAAACATGGATTCCGTATTCATCCAAGTCGATGTGTATTTTCAAGGAATCTTCACAAAATACCCCATACGCTACACCGGGGGGATTACTCAGAGGTTTTTGGACATCGATTTCGCAGGCATGGACACGAACGAGTGTTATGAGTTTATCGAACAGTTCACTGGAGAAAAGTGTGAGAAGCTCTATTACTGCAAACTAGATATTCATTTTCCTAAAGGTTTGACGTTAATTTCCAATTAGATGGATTATGCCGATTTTATAGCAATAGCTTATGAATGTGGTGTTATACACCCTATGTATGTAGACCATTTTGGTAATAGTAACATGCAAGAATGGTTGGAAGAACACAAAGAAGAGGTTGTTGATAACATAGTGGAAGAAGTGATTGATGGTGCAGGACTAATTAAAGAAATTGAGACAGACCATTTGGATGAGTATGAGGATGAAAATGAAGATGAGGATGAGGATGAGGATGACCATGGGGCTGAGGATGTGGATGTTGATGAAGATGAGGATAACCATAGCAATCCTCATTTTTTCAAAAGGGATAATGGCCCTGATGTTGACATGGGTGAGAATGCCGCTTTGGGTGATCCTTTGGAAGAAGCCATGTATGACGATGAAGATGTTTATCCTCAGTTGCCAAATATTTTCAATGAAAAGTTGCACTGGAAGGAGAAGGAACCTGTCTTAGGCATGAGGTTTGAGAGTCCTAAACAATTGAAACACATGCTCTGTAACTATGCTGTTGCAAATGGTTATCAATTATGTTTTGTGAAAAATGATAGTAGATGGTTGCTAGCCAAATGTTGTGATGGAAAATGTACAATTAGGGTTTGGGGTTCATGGATGAGTGATGATAAGTCTATCCAAATCAAGTCTCTTATTAGTGACCATAATTGTTCAAAGAATTTCAAATTCGAATCAATTGTCACGTATAGATGGATAGGTACCCACTTTACCCAACAATTTTTTAACAATCAGAAGATGAGTGTGAGATTACTTAGAGAGGAGGTGAAAACCACTTTTGGCATTATTGTAAGTATGAGTCAGTGTATGAGAGCCAAGAAGTAATCATTGAGTCTAGATGAAGGCACGGTTGCAGAAAATTATGCTAGAATATGGTCTTACGGTGAGGAGATTAAAAGATCAAATCCTGGATCCACTGTTAAAATTTCTGTGGATACAATGCCTGATGGTAAGAATTACTTCAACAAGATTTACATATGCTTTGTTGCAGTCAAAGAGGGGTGGAGTGGAGGGTGTAGAAGGATCATTAACTTGGTGGTTGTTTCCTGAAAAGTTTTTGCCAAGGTGAGTTGCTTTGTGTTGTTGGTAGGGATGCTAACAATGGAATATTCCCAATTGCTGGGTCAGTTTTATGTGTGGAAAACAAAGAGAATTGGAAATGGTTCTTTGAAAATCTTGCAGAAGATTTGCAGTGTTTAAATGAAGGAAGTGTTTTGGTTTTAATTTCTGATCAACACAAGGTATGTTTGTAAATATTAAACATAGTATAATAAATATTTACATTTCTAACTTCACCTATTATTGGTACATATGCAGGGTTTAGTTGAGGCAGTCAAAGAAGTATTCCCAGCAGCAGAACATAGGCAGTGTGCTAGGCATATATATGGTAATTTTAGAAAAAATTTTAGTGGAGCCAAGTTTTAAAATTTGTTTTGGAGAGCAAGCAAGTCAACAACTGAAGCACATTTTAACATAGTCATGAAAGATATTGAAAATTTGAATCTTGAAGCCGTTAAGCATCTTATGGATAGAGATCCAAAGACTTGGTCTCTAGCTTTTTTTAGAGTTCAGAATTCATCTTGTGAATCTGTGAAGAATGGCTTTTCAGAGAGCATTAATAGTGTCATTTTGGATGCTAGGAAGAAACCTATTATCAGCATGTTAGAGGACATTCGTATATATGTGATGCAAAGGATGGTCACTACGGAACTCACAGGTCAAGGATGGAATTGCTATTCTGTTTGTCCAAACATTAGAACACGATTAAATATTCTCCAAAATGAGCAAAGTTATGCACACTTATTTTTTCATACATACCTTACCTCTGTCAACTCTAAACATTTGCGTTACATTTTGTAGGCATTGGCAGGTTGTGTCTTGTGGGGGTATGAAGTTTGAAACAAGGAAAATGGATGAGTTGTACATTGTTGATGTCACAAAAAAGGAATAAAGTTGCAGTTTATGGAAACTAAATGGGTATGGTTGTGTTCATTCAGTAGCTACATTAGCATTTTTAAACGTAACACCTGATGGACCATATGTAGACCCATTGTACCTGGAAGCCTTTTTCCATAATACCTACAAACAGTCTATTAGTGGCATGAATAGGATGAACATATGGCCTTCAACAAACTTTATACCTCCATTGCCTCCTTTAAAAAGAAGAATGCCAGGCAGGCCAACAATGAAAAGAATAAGGGATGCTTCTGAAAGGTCTGGAAAACACACGGTTTCAAAGGCAAGGAAAAATGTTTCTTGTGGCATATGCAAACAGAAAGAGCACAACAAGACCACTTGCACTCAAGTGCCAAGGCCTCCTAAAATTAATGTCCCAAAGAAACAAAAGATCATGCAAACACAATAATCAGTGATATATGCAACGGGGTGGAGAAGATGTTGTTATGGGTGATTTAGTTGAGCTACAAACTGATGAAGTTATGAGGGTAAACGAATCTGAGCAAGTGGTGAGGGTAAACGAATATGAGCAAGTGGTGAGGGTTAATGAAGCTGAGGAACTAGGCAGGGTTAATCAAGTTGTTGGCCAAGTGTATACTATAGGTAAACCAAGCAAGAGGAAAAAGTCAGAGAGACTTTTTAAACTAAAGCTTGCTAAAAGAGTTGAATGTGATGGTAGCAGTGTTGGATCGCTAATGGAGTTAGATTAATTACAGTTTTAATTGTGTGTCTGTTATGTGGATTGAACAAGGGAATTTATGTTTGCAATGTTCATGTATGTTATAATAATCTTATTATTTGATATTTGGATTCGTGTATGTATTTATAATATGTATGATCTTATTTATATTAGTGTGTACGGGGTAATTTAGTCATTAAAAATATTTCAAGAGGGCATGTGAATGTTAGTTTAGGGGTAATTTAGTCATTCAAATAAGTTAATCCAATGGGTGTATGTTATTTCAAGTAATTATTAAAGTAGGGGTATTTTAGTCAATCAAAGAAGTTAAATTACATACAGTCCCGTTAGGTGTATTAGTCTCATTTTAATTAGTTAAAGAAATAGGGGTATTTCTGCCATTATTTTTTATTTGACTAAACCCATCAGGGGTATTACAGTAAATATTTCTTATGTGACTTAACCCATTAGGGGTATTTCAGTCATAACCTTATTATTTGACTTAACCCATTAGGGTTATTTCATTTCTTCCAGGCAATTATCCAAAGTGGGCAACCAGAAATACAACAAAAAAACACTTTTCCATTGTTTTCCATTTCTGGGTTATAGGCAACGACAAATCTGGATATTAGATTCTTCGTTTTTGTCCCATGTCCCACACACAAACATTGCGGTTCATGTTTTAATGGTTAAAAAAGTTTGACTTTGTCATGTGGTCCCAGGAAGAAAATAAACAAAAAATATGCTTATTACTTCACGATACATGCACATTTACATTTATAACAAGAACATTTTAACTTAACCAACATTTCATTCATGGGTTTCTGCATCTTTACATATATTAAACAAGTTAAAACAGGATTTCCACATCTATCTAAGTACATACGAGAACCATCACCTGTGACTACCATCAAAAAACTGATCATCACAACAACATAATCACAAAACCACCAAATACTACAACCAGAAACCAAAAGACAACGAACAAAACACGTTACTAATAAAGAGAATAAACCAGATGCACGTCAAAACAAAATAGAAACCCAGGATTGAAATGTTGTAACCTAAAGTTCTTCTATCATTTTAAAAACTTGTAGGTTAACACCCCCACAATAGCAACGACAAAAACCCCAAGGACCCATTTCACTTTCTTCCACTTGTTTTTTCCCAAAATGATGTTGACATATGAGGCTTGCAGTGAACACAAATGCTTCTTCAAATTAGCAACCATGTTAGATAGATCGAGTTGACCAGCCCTAACATCATCGACTTCATGATTTAGGGCGTCCAACTCTCTAGTGATGTTGCGTCGTAGTTCGCAAAGGTCGTTTGCAATCTCTTCCCTCACAAGCGACGCCTCCAACTATATTTGCAGCAGATTTATCATCATGTTTTCATTTGTGACTCCATTCGAGACATATTCAGCCATGTGTCGACTGTAGTTGGGTGACCAACTGTGATTTGGAGATGATCGTGAATGCATCGTTTTTGCAATTGGTATTGAAGATTAGGGTGCAGTTACAGGTTACAAATTGTGCCATTTTAGGGCACAAGCTTCACATTTTATACGGAGGCGGGGTGAACAGTGTGAATGTGGCCTCTATGTTTCACATTCCAAAATGAATCGTTTGGGTCCAAATGTTTTGGTTCGTGTAATAACTAAGCCCTATATATATATATATATATATATATATATATATATATATATATATATATATATATATATATATGGCTAGGTTATAATGTGGATGGACAATTATTGTGTGGACGTGTGGACAGTGCGATTCTATTAGAATTACTATGAGAATACATTGTTTAGTAATGCGAATACGTTCAACCTTACAAAAATATCGTCATTTTCATAGTATACGACTCAATAAACATTCCGACAACATTCTGACAGAATCAGAATAATAATAAAAAGTCTATAATAACCTTATAGACGATTTAATTAGTGAGAATATGTGATAATGACAATAGTTATGTAAGATTGAACGTGTTCATATTATTAAACAACATATTTTCTTTGTCATTCTCATAGAATTGCACTGTTCACACGTCCACACAATAGATGTTCATCCACATTTGAACCTATCTCTCTCTCTCTCTCTCTCTCTCCTCTCTATATATATATAGATATATATATATATATATATATATATATATATATATATATATATATATATATATATATATATATATATATATATATATATATCATAAGTAAAATATATGGTAAACTTTTACTTTTAAAAAATGAGCATGATGAATCTACCACATGTAGTTATATACTTATTATACAAATATATAGCGTCGGAGCAACGCGTGAGTGGAATAAAGACAGGTTCGTGCCTTCTTAATACTACTCTATATTCATTACTTGAATCACAACATACCTCTAGTGGATCAGTGTTACTTATCAATTGAAACTAAACAATCTGCTAAATTCACATTACCCAATTAGGTAAGTGATCATTCTATCTCTTGTTTTTTCATACGATTTAGTATTTAATTTTCACAGAATTTTTCATGTTGGTAACACACTTGCACTATAACAGTAATATCTGTTCTAACTAATTCTAAAGTTATAATCGCAACGCCTCCTTCTTTCTGTGGTTATGATCTGTCACTTATAATTTCCTTTTTGTCTCAGATTTCTTGTATCAGTCTACATTAATAAATATATGTAGTTCCATATTTGGAGTCGAATCACAAGTTTGCTTGATCAGACTTCTTATTTATCAATGAGCGTGTGCACTGCACTTTGTGTTTATGTTGGTGTAGCATTCATGTTTTTTCCACAAACTCATCACCTTTTTTGATTGTTGCTTTCAGATCATAAGGCAATATCATATAAGTTGAAAACAATGGGTGGTGGACATAGACATGACGGAGACAAAGGACTGTTTTCTCATCTTATTGGTGCTGGACATTATCCTCCGCAGGTAGCATATCCACCTCTTGCGTATCCTTACCCTTTTCCTGTAGGGTACCCGCCTGCTGCTTATCCTCATCATGGTGGGTATCCGCCACATGTTTGTCCTCCGGCTGGAGGTTATCCTCCCGTAGCCTATCCTGCATCTTCAGCTCCTTATTATTCAGGTTAGCTCGGGTCAGAATTATCTTTGTAACTTGTATATGCCACGAGAAGCATTTCAATATATTGTTTCTTTAATTAAACTCTTGCTTAATTTGCTAATTCTTAGAAACTGAAGCATATAAGATGGTTCTCACAAGAAATGTTGTTTATATATAGGGCATGGAAGGCATGGTCATGGAGTGGGAACATTCCTTGCTGGAGGTGCAGCTGCAGTGGCCGCTTCATATGGAGCTCATCATATGCCTCACCATGGCTATGGTTCACATGGTTATGGTTACTATGGGTATCACCATGGTAAATATAAGCACGGGAAGTTCAAGCATGCGAAGTTTGGCAAGCGCTGGAAGCATGGGGGGATGTATGGGAAGCACAAATGGTGAAATGATTTCTGAAGTGCTGTGTGATGTTTGAACGATTCTCATCTAAGCATAACCATGCATGGAGAATTATTGTGAAGTAGAAATGAATCAAGACATGTATGATTTCGTGTACTAGTTAAAACCATCTTAAGAGATTGGAACAAACAAGTTTTTTTTTTAATGCATACACGAAAGTGAGAACAAAAAAAGACATTAAGTATTAATCTGAACACCATCCTTAATTGGTTTTTAAGACCAAATGTCATCCTTATATATAACTACTTGTGGTAATTACCTAGGGTTACGAGCGAGTGGCGGACCCATAAAAAAAATTCAAGAATACACAATTATTTTACACGTTATGTATAATATGAATTTTTTTTTTCGGATTCCTGTTAAACGGGTTCGGTATATCACCCGAAATTAGGAATTTTTCTATTTTTAATGGCAAATTTAACTTTATGGCAAAGTTAAACCAAGAATGTTCTTTGTAATAGCATAACTTCAACTAGTTAGTTTTTATATTGCAATTTAGAGTGACTACATATATTAGCTTTGAGGGGACATATTATCTTCTTCCAATGTCAACCAAAAGGTAATGTGTTCTCTTGTGTTTTGTTCTTGATCTCGTATGCTTCAATCAAAGCTATAGAGACTAGGTTTCAAACAAATGACCAACAACGACTAACTTATTAGGTTCTCTGCTCATTAATCACTCTCTTTTGAGCTTACATTTTCAAAGCCTCTAGAATGGTAATTCTTAAACTCACTAAAATGTTTCCAATAGTCGAATCTTACACTTGGTATTGTCCAATAAATGATAAGATTTAGAGTACATTGACAAAATTGTCCATGATTCAGGTTCTAATATGGCCATATGTTAAGCTATATTCCACATGTTGGTTAGTACTGTCTTATTTCAATGAAGTTGCTTATGTGTATAAGCATCTCATCACACCATTTTACAAAAATCCACAAGTTAAAATATGGTATTTACGGTGAAAGAAGGGTATTCTCGGTAAACCAAATGATATTTTAACCACTGCAAAGAAATATATAGCATAAATATTGGTCTTAAAATACAGTCATACATATTAAAGTTTATTCCTTGTTAACCTAACCTTATTGATTTAGTCAATCACTACTCATAAAGATTTTAATAGTCATAAACCAATTACGATTCAAGCAAACATAGTAGATTACGTCCACTAAGTATATGAACTCAACAATAAGCAACAAAGAACAATATTGTAACGCTCTAAATTTTCAAATAAATTTTCCATTTTTAAAACCTCACAAAACACAATTTCACATTTCTCAAAATAACATTTATAAGCTGTTCAAAACGCAAGACAACAAAATGTTTAACAATATCCCAGAATCCTCAAAACATAATCTCTAGCTGGTGTGTACAATCATGTCGGCGCCTTCCCGCGATCCTGAAAGGTACCTGAAACACATTTCACACAACACTGTAAGCACGAAGCTTAGTGAGTTCCACAAAATACCGCACACAAATAATTATCCTCTCATGGCTATATCTCGATAAGGACCCTCCGGTCAATGTGTCTCAGTGAAGACCCTCCGGTCTCACAACTCTGTTCGGACCCTCTGGTCCAAACTCATCAAGGCACAGCAATAATATACAACACATATCACAAAGACAAATGCAGCATATCAAACAACTCAGTATAAGCATATAAGACCCTCTGGTCACACAATATCACCACTCAGGTAAGTATAGTGAGAAGACTCACCTCACAGAGTAAAGCAATATATCCCATACTCGAACTGTTGGTCTAGACTCCGCCTACACATATCACAATCATCTCTACTTAAAAATTATATAAAATGTTAAGCTAACTCCTCTACTAAATCTCCGAAAAGGGTGAAAGACCATTTTACCCCTCCATGTTCTCCAAAGTCCACCACTTGACCCAACCCTAAAAGCCAACGGAAGTCAACACTCAAGTCAGCAGTCCATGTTGACTCAACTCGTCGAGTTTAGCTCATGAACTCGTCGAGTCCTCAGTACTCAGAAATCACGAAAACCAGAGTCAACTCACCGAGTTGCTAGCCAACTCGTCGAGTCCATGCAGAGTCCAGAAGACCGGGGAAAAACCCTATCCACTCGTCGAGTTGTCTCATCAACTCGTTGAGTTCACTCTGAATCCAGAAACGGGAAAACCCAACTCAACTCGTCGACTTGGATGCCCAACTCGTCGAGTTCCTCATCCCTTTCTCATTAAACTCATTCCAGTCGATTCCAATGCTCCAAACTCCAGATCCAACCTCCTAGGATGGAGTTACCACGTAAAGTTGCTAACTTTACGATCATGCAAGGCCTCACAAGGCTAAATCACCCAAAACTAAGCTCAAGAAAGGGTTTAGGACATGAATACGGGTTAAAGCTTCATAAAGCTTGAAGATTTATGTACATGGGACCTAGAGAAGTCCAGATCTGAAACTCATACCCCCTGGGCAAGCTTAACACGAGAATGACCCTCATTTTGCACCAAAAGCCCATCAACTCACATAAGAAGAGATCTAAGGAATGGAAAGCCAAGGTAAGGACTTTTTACCTCCAAATAGATGTTACAACTGTATGAATGCTGGATCTAAAGACTCCTTCTTGTTCCTGTTGGATATAGTGTCTAAGTCCATAACTATATTTGGTATGTACTTGACCCGACCCGGCATGGTCCATTTGGGTTGCACTTCACCCGAACAATTTATGGATAATCGTTTGAGAATAGTATAAGTTATGATTTATTAATATATTATAAGTCCTAATATATTAATATAAAATCATATTATTTAATTAGTATTGATCTATAATTAATTTAGAATTAATTTAGAGATCAAAAGTATGACTAATTAAATATGGGCTCTTGTATTTATATAGTGTGGGCTAATGCTTATTTGGAATGGGCTAGGCTTGCATGGAAAGTCCATGGATACTCCATGGAGCTTTAACCCATGGATCTCATGGAAATGAAAAGACATGGGTATTAGGGTTTACATGGATGTAACCCTAATCCACCACACTATATAAAGGAGGCTTTGGTTCTTGAAATTGCACTAGTTGATGTGTGTAAACCAAGAGGGCCGATTTCAAGAAGTTTGTGACTATTCTCTCAAGTTTCCAAGTTTGTGGTGATTTGTGACTTCCATTTGAGGCATCCACATTATTGGTGCTAGGCTCTCAAACTCCAAGCAATCAACTACTACTACAAGGTAAGTAATTCTACTAGTTTTATTTGATTCAAGTATCCCATGCCATGCTAGTTAGGATAAGAACCTTGGAAAAATAATTATTTGCATGTATCTTAGTCAAACATAGATCCAAGGTTTCTAGGGTTGCATGTACACCATAGGAGTGTTAGAATGCTCAAAACCCATCAGTGGTATCAAGCCTGGTTTGTTTATTTGATACTTGATGCAAAAAAAAAAAAAAAAAAAAAACTTGAAAATCGAAGTTTTGTTCAAAAGCTCGTATCAAAATTTCAAGTTTTGTATATGTACTTACGATTCTTGAAATTTTTGATATGAACATTCATAAACATATGAGTTTAGAAGATCATAGAAATTATGTGCTAATAATTGATTAGATTAATTCTTGATCTTTATGTGTTTTAATGGAGTCCATAACTAGTTCTTAAGTTATGGATAACCAAAAGTCACATTTATAAATAACCATTAAAAGAACACATAGGTTACAAAAAATGAAGAGTCTTCATTTTTAATAACCATTAACTCATAAGTTATGAGAAATGAAAAGTTTGAAAGTTTACAAAACTTGCCCTCAAGTTTTGGAACATGTAAAGTCATATTAAAAACTTTAGTTCCAACCCCTAGAATTTTAAAAGTTAAAATTCAACCCTTATACTTTATAATATTATAAGTTTAATAATATTTATATATGTATAAGATCAAGTCGTCTTACCGCTAGTACGCCTCATTCACGAAGCCGGTCTATAAGGGGGGTATAAGGTTGTTGCCTATAAAATGGCAACTTAATGGGTGTCCACTCTCACCCACCGCTTCCTTGATCGGTGGAGGGTCGTTAGCCGAACGGGTAGGACAAGGACTTATAAATTCTCATTAAAAGTATAATGATAATACTAAAGTAACTAAACTTTATTGAATTCCCAATCTTAGTTATTTTAGGAAAATGTGAATAAGGTGCTAATCCATGAAATTACACTTTACACTTTGTTTAAGTCGTTAGTGGAGCGTGTGTGGTTAACCGGCACACTAACTTGAACTTAACAAGGTAGGTAAAGGGTGACTTAATGTTTATCATAGTATCGATGGAGTGTGTGGTTAACCGGCACATCGATTGAGGGGTAATACATTAAGGGTACCAAGTAATTTGCATGGTTACTTCACACCTTGTTTTGTGATCCTCGGCATCCCAGTCACAAAACTTGAAGGGCACACTCGAGATTGAAACATGCCATTGAAGAAAGTTCAATGAATCTCAAAGAATCTAGGAGTTTCTAAACCAATTAAAACCTAATTAAATATTTCGTTTTTCATGGTGGAAATTGGTGAATCGTCATTCACCTACCTTCAAATATCTTATAGCTTAGATTACGACATCCCTCTTCTAAGTTATAAAATATTGTGTTGGGTCCTAGCCTTAATATTACATTTGGGTGTTTTGTTAAGGACTATCTCTATATCTAATCTAATCTATTCCCTCTTCTTTTCAGATGTCTTCCAATAACAATGCTTCTGGCTCAACCCTACTAGCTCCTTCTCTCTCATGAATCTTTGTGGGAGAGTCATCTTTGATGGGTCCAACTTTACAGATTGGATCAGAAACATCAGGATGGTCACTCGGTATGAGAACAAAGAATATGTTCTCGACAAGGAGCTGAAGGTACCCGAGCCAACTGCTACTCCTGAAGAGCTTGCTGAATATGAGGTACATGAAAGAGATGCTACAAAAGTGGCATGCATCATGATGGCCACCATGACAGCCGAGCTCCAAAAGTCCTATGAGGACTATTATCCTTTTGAGATGCACCAGGACTTGATGGACCGCTACCATCAAAGTGCTCGTCAAGAGCGATATGAAATAATCTCCTCCATGATAACAACCCGAATGAAGGATGGTGAACC